GTGAGGGCTCTAAACCAGCATAGCTTCATGGCTTTTTTCCTTCTCCCCTCCATTGTCCTCCTTAGGACAACTGCTGAGATTTGCAGCTCACCTGCCCTGAGGATTTTTCTTTAAATTCTGATAAAATTGTCGTAAAGCTTCCATTTGAGTCCATTCTTAAATTCCTTTATGGCTGAGACTAAGGACCCTGTAGGGGACACTGTCTCTCCCCTGTATCATCAGTAGAGTCTACAGAACAATGCATTGCCCATGTCTTTCCCATAGGCATAGGACTAACCATTTAGAAATACAGAACTGCTCACTCCACAAGAGCAGCCAGGTGTCACAAGAATTTTTTTCTCAGCAGGCTGCTGTTTGTGATTACTGACACATTTATTTCTCCAGCTTTTCTCTTCTCTTTCCCTTAGTAAAAGCCATATGAGGGCACATGAGGATGTAATATGAGGCTCAGGAGGAAAGAAAGAAAGAAAAAAACCCATAGGATCCATCTTTTGTCCCCACTGCCTTGGTCTTTGCAAGTATCCTAAATCCTATTCCGTCTCTTCTTCCTCCTACTCAGGACCCTTCCTGCTTTTCAATAAATGTCCAAGAATATTGGAATCTTAGAATTTTTCTAAACACAAATGAAAAGACAAAGGGAAATGAGTTCTTACCCATACAAGCTTCAGTACTTGTTGAGAAAGCTCTTGCTATTAGCATCTAATAGCACCTTATATTATATAGTGATAGCACTATACCATAAAAGTATAAGGAGAAAAGTACAAAATGAAATTTTTAAAAATTACCCATTGTGTTAGATAGGGTTTTCTAGACAAACACAATGGATAAGAAAAATAAACATACAGAAAGGGATTTATTAACAAGATCAGATTTTGTAACTATGGGTGCTGACAAGTCCAAGACTGGCAGTCAACAAGTTGGAAATTCAGTGATACAGTTTCAGTTCAAGTTCCTGTTTATGGTTTGAATATGAAACATCCTCCATAGGCCTGTGTGCTAAACACTTGGTGCCCAGCTGATGGCGCTATTTTAGGAGGTCATGAGAACTTTAGTTGGAGGTAAAGCCTATCTGGAGGAAGTAGGTCACTGGAGGCCCAGAACCAATGGAGCCAATGTTCTGAATGGAATGAATGGATAGAAATGCTGCATCCAGCATGACAGGGGTTCAGTGACTCCTTGAAGAAGGGCGGCACAGCATGAAGGAAAGACACTCTCAAGAGTGGAGGTCCAGGAGGCTCTCCCCTGAGGGAACACAGGCCCCTAATGCTGTTCCACTATGTATTTATTGCTTTAATCTGCATAAGCAGGGCAAACTATATGACTTTTTCTCAGTGCAGTCTTTAGAAAATAGGAAGACTTCTAGGTGTGTTATTTTGAAGCAAAGAATCTGTTCACTATAATGAAGACTAGCATTGTGATCAGGGATCAGATATATCAGGGATCAGCACTTCCTTATATAATTGGGTGCTCTGTGTTCCTTTGTTTGCCTCGGCACACATGCCTACACAGTTGCCACGTAGACATTCTTCACCAGAGGTGCCATTGCACGTGGTCAAGCATGCTTTCAGCAGAGTTCAGGTAGAGCAGTGTCACCAACACTGAAACATCTGAAACCATGAGCCAGAATAAATTCTTCCTACCTTAAGTTATGTCAGGCATTTTGTCATAGTGATGAAAAGTCTGACAACACAGTATCCAGAAGTTCTCACTTCCTCTGCCTGGCACCCCTAGCACCATGTTGATTAAATACAGGGAAATGGATTCCTAGTGCCAAACAACTGTACTAATTAGGAAACAATTGTATAAACCAGGATTCGCTAAAGAAATAAAACCAATAGCGCGTGCACACACACACACACACACACACACACACACACACACACACGAAGATGTTTATTATGGGAATTTTTAATTTTAAAATATTTTATTTATTATTTTCATTTTATGTGTATGAGTGTATAGCCTATATGTGTGTAAGTACACCCATGTTGTGCAGTGCCTATGGAGGTCAGAATGTCAGATCCCTTGGAACTGGAGTTACAAGTGGTTGTTAGCTGCCTGTGTGGGTGCTGGGAATTGAACCTAGGTCCTCTGCAAGAGCAGTCAGTACTATTAACCTCTGAGCCATCTCTCTAGCCCCTATTATAGGAATTTATTATGGCTCACAGTAAGTAGGGGGGTCTGAGAAGCCCCACAACATACCCTCTGTAAGTTGGAGACCCTGGATAGCCTGTAGTGCAATTCAGGCTGAGTCCTAAGACCTGAGGGTAGAAGATGGATGTTCTAGTTGAAGGAGAAAGAAGATTCACCCCGCTACCTCACCAGTCCAGCTCAAAAGTTTAAGTTGGGAGGATGTCAACATGAATGTGGGGAAAATGATTTATAATAGCATTACTTGGGTCTAGAGGTTGTCTTTTTGTGATATTACATTTATCTATTACCTGCTTTTGCTTCAGGAGCATCTGGATAAAAATCAGCTAGATTAAGTATGGGCTGGTGATTCTGCTCACCTATATTCAGCTGTGGTTATGAATCTGGTTGCTTCCAGATATTAGTACTGACCAGCTCCCATCAACCCAATACCTGCCACAGTTTATTTGCATGCCCCCCACTTTGCAAATTCAAATGTTGAAACTTCATCACCAATATGATGGGATAGGGAGGTGGGGTCTTTGTAGGTGATTAAGCCATAAGGGCTCCAGTGTTATGAATGTCATCAGTGCCCTTCTAGAAGGGGTGCTAATCAAAGAACCACTGTTCTACTGATGTGAGGATATAGTTAGAAGGCATGTTAGGCAGAAAGTAGGCCCTCACCAAACACTGAATCTGTGGGTGTCTTCATTTTGGACCTCCTAGACTCCAGAACTCTGAGAAACAAAATTTTGTTGTTTATAAACTGCTCACTATAGGGCATTTTGTTACACTAGCCTAAGCAAACCAGGACAACCCTTCTAAGTAATGGAAAGGGATGCTAATTCATGTGGTTTTTCACTTGTTCAATTCCAGAAAAACATCCAAAAAGGCACATCCTGGAATTTTTTTCAAATGGAAATATGGTGTAACATTTTCATTAAATGACTCCTATCTTTCATTCCACATTTTCTTACAAGTGACTTTGACCTTCCTGAGAGTTGTCTATGGCCCTTCCCCTTAAAGGCAGTGTCATTTTGTGACAGCTTCAACAAATGCAGTACAATGGACACAGTACTCTGTGACTTCTGAACTAGGTCATAAAAATCAATGCAACTTCCGCCTTGTCCTCTTGTGCTACTACTCTTAGACTACTCCCTTCTGGAATATTGTTGTCAGGCTATGAGGATGCCAAGTAGCCACATGGAAAGGCCACGTATAGATATTTTGGCAGGAAACTGCAACTGAGTTCTAGGTTACAGCCAGTATCTATGGTTGACCATGAACAGCCTCCAAATTTCAGACTTGGCCAGTGACTCTGAGCAGTGTGTGTTGGTCAAACCAACTCAATTTGTGTTTGTTGTGCAGTAGTAGGTGACTTGACAGGTATAAATATTTTTATGTCCAATCTCTTATAGCACATATCTTGACTCATCACATAGTCAGGGGAAAATTCACCTAATACACAGTTGTTAAGACTCATGCTACCCTGTCCTTAGTTCTTATTTTCAAAAGACAAGCCTACCTCAAGTTTGGGGATCAGAGACCTCAGTTGACCAGTTGCTTTTTTTTCCCCCTGGAGACAGGGTCTCAAGTGTTCTAGTCTGGCCTCCAACAACTGATCCTCCTGCCACTACCTCCCAAGTACTGGGATTACAGGTGTGTACCACCATGGTCAGCTCGTTTCTCCATTTTCCCCCTTTGATCTTTCTCTAGATACCTTACTTTCCTTTCTCTCACTTGACTTCTCTTACTTTACTATTTCTTCATGTTTTCTTGGTCATCCCAACTTCCCAACTTCCCAACCTCCAGCGTCATCCTGAAAGAAGCTGCGGTCTTCCAATTCTTCATTGCTGGAATTCATTTTATGCTGTGTACCTTGTAGAATGAGACCCAACATAGGGGCCTAAGAATCCGGTGGTGGGTTCCTCTTCATATTTCCTACGTGCTTCAGCTCCCCTCTAGGCTGGACTGAGGGGCTGGGAGACTGGGCTCCCTGCCCAGGGGACAGTGCATGTGACTAAGAGCCTGCAGGCAGCTCCTGCTGACGACACTCCTAGCAGTAATAGTAGTGGACGCAGCGGAGGCAGGAGCACACCCTGCACACCAGACGCAGAAACTCCGAGCCTCCCACGCTCCCCGCAACGATGTCACGCTCCACCGGGCCAAAATGGCGCAGTCCCCCTCGGCAGCGCGAGGGGAGGGGCCGCACGTCATGTGACCCCCCTCTGCAGCCCACGAGGTCCGGGCTGCCCCAGGCTCCTACGTGGAGCCCAGCGGCAGTGCTGGCTGTGGTAAGGCCGTGCATCCTCGCTGGTCCCAGCTGGTCCCGGCGCTTTGTCCCAACCACGTTCCGGACCCCGGCGTGGGGCCAAGGGTGGAGGTGGCGTGCCGAGACAGAGGGGCTGCACAGCCAGCTCCCTGAGGCCTGGCATCGTGGGGAGGCGGTAGGTCAGAGCCCGAGACCCGGGCTGGACCGGGAGAGCACCATTCCATCCGGGCGTCCTGGCGCCCAGCGGAGAGCGCTGGGCCAGGCTGTTACACTCAGGGGCATCCTGCCCAGGTCTTAGCCGTTCACCGGATCATGGGGTCCCCCTCTGAGCTCCGACCACCGACTGGGTGCATTTCATGGGTTTCACACCGCCGGCCAGCCTCGAAGCCAGCGGGACTGAAAAATAGCTTCAACCAAATGCTCCCTTCCCCTTAAGGAGACGGGTTAGGAGGTTCCGCCCCGGGGGGACGCCCGGGGTGCTGGGCGCAGAGCGCCCTCCTGGGCCAGCGTTGCTCCCTTCTGCGTTTCAGTCTCTGCCGAGTGGGCTTGGCCGAGCCGACCCCCCGGGAGGAGGGGCAGACGATGCGCTGTGACCGTGCTGCCTCCATGTGGCTGATGACAGGGGCCCGGGGAGGGGGGAGCAGGCGTGGGGCGCGGCCGCGCCTCCCTCCCAGCCCTCCTCCCGGACAGCTGGCTTGGCGATGAGCAGACGTGAGGGACCGGCCGGCCGCCCCGGCTCTGCAGGAGGCTACCAGGCTCCCGAGCGTGCCTCAGTGCCTGGGTCGGGAGCGGCTTGTGTGGGACTCCCTGGCAGGCCGCGAGCAGAGTCCCGGCCTGGCCATGGGGCACAACGGGAGTTGGGTGTCTCCAAACGCCAGCCAGCCGCGCAACACGTCGGGGGCCGAGGCTGCGGGCTTGAACCGCAGCGCGCTGGGGGAGCTGGGCGAGGCGCAGCTGTACCGCCAGTTCACCACCACGGTGCAGGTCGTCATCTTCATCGGCTCGCTACTCGGTAAGCCGCCCGCGGGGCCGCCATCGGGCTGGGCTTCCCCGAGGGCACAGGCTCGGGGAGCCGCCGTGGGGTGCAGGGTGCCTGGCCGAGTGCGGGGAGCTGAAGGAGGTTTAAGAATGCCCGGGTAACTGCAGTGAAGTTAAGCGTGGACGGTCGCGAAGAGGACAGGGCTTCTGGCCGGAGGATGGTGTGGGGTCCAGGCAGAGGTCAGCATGCTGGTGACAGCCCTAGCCAAAAGCTTCAGGATGGGCACGGGACTGCGCGCATCACCGCTTACCGCCTGCTGCCAGGAGCAGCGCGGGCTCCGGCTCGTGTTTACAAAAGATTCCGTGGGAATTTGTTGCTGATGAAGGAATGCTACTCTCTCTTATGAAAGATGTGTTTTGCGCTACCACCTAGTTCCTATATCAGATCATTATTTGGAAAGAGCCCGGTTTTCCGCGTCATTTTTGGGTCTTCATAACACTGACCCGGCAAACGACCGCGTGAAGTTAAACTTTACGTTGCCTTCAGATAATTTTTAAGTCTCCAAGTAAAACAAAACCCACTTCACTTATCTACCTACCTATGTTTTAAGTACAAAATAAACAAGACAAAACAAAACAATCTCAAAGTACACACAATAGATTTCTTTCTTCAGAGGAGATTAAAAAAATAGGGGCCCGAATGGGGATACCTTTCATTTTCTATTACAGGGCACTAACTCAGTATTCAAAAAGAGCCGCGGGATCTCAATCGTACTAGGGTACTTGTTATTTTTTTGTGTGCGACCGCTAGTAAAACGGGTGTCCACTAGCGTGAGGATTACCTTGACATATCTCTACTCTTGAATTTGCGCTTTAGAGCTACTCTTTAAACAATGAATGACACAGTCAACACTCTTTTCCATTGGGGTTTGTCAGACATAATGAATACTAGTAAATATATGTAAATTCTCTGTCGTGGCGTTTAGAAGAATGTGAAAAAATTACAATTATGTGTGTGACATTATAGGTAAGAGCAAAGTTTCAAAGTAGGAATAGATTATGTTTCTTAGACATTTGGGAATTTCCATGGAAACCAAGATAACTGATATTTAAAAGGCCTTATTTGGAAAAGTTTTAAATGTTTGGAATTTCCCTTCATACTTTCTCAAATTGTCATCATTCTATTCCATTCTGTTGTAATAGCTATTTTCCATATTTTGTCATGAGGGCATTTTGGGGAGTAGAGTCTGTGAGACTTTTTCTAGACCTGTGCTTTAGAGTGGAGTGTTAAGTGTACAGTTACAAAACAAAAGCCTATTTTCCAAATATTCTCGACATTCACTTAACAGATACTACCTGAACACTTAATAGATGCTAGGCACTATGCAAGGAATTAAATTCCA